CTTGGTCCTCAAAGGGTTGAGGGGGCTAGGGTGGCCTAGGCCCCAGGCCCTGCAGTTTTAGGGCTCCAATTCAAGATTTTATTCTAAATAACACTTTCATACAAAATCTTTGATTAAGTTAGGAGAGTTTAAGTTAATAACTGGCCAAATCGGTAAATCTAACAGTCTGAAAACAAAAGCTGAATTGAAAAATTGCAGTGAAAATATTTTGTTTTAGACTTGGACGGACAAAAGGACCGCTATCACTTCTGCAAAAATCACTTGGTTAGCAGCGGTTCTATTATATTGAAAAATAAGAAACGAAGCAATGGAAACGAAGTCTTCTAAAACAAGATTAATCTTCTTTTAGAAAACTTTGTTTTCATGTTCTTCAATTGAAGAAAGGTAGAGAGAACATGGCAGCTAAGCATTCAAAATAATCACCTTTTGCCCATGAAACTAAATTAATATAAAAACAAACGAATCATACTTTAAATATAATGAAGATGATACTGTAAAAAATATTGAATGTTTTACGGATCATGAATCTAAAATGCGTAATGATAAGTTTCAGGTAGTTTTTAGGCACTCCAATATTAACATCTTTAAGTTAAAAAAAGCCATGTTATAAAATTTTTCGTTTTGAATATGCTAGCAAATAACTCTTTTAAATGCATTTTGGGTTCAAATCTTAACCGGTTTGTTTGTGTTTAAAACCTGTTGCTTAAAATTAAAATTAAATTTTTTTTTATCTAAATACTATTGTACATTATAATTATGATTTTTGTCTGTTAACTATCAAGCTTTTGACTATCATTGAAATGAAAGGTAGGGCAAGAAATAAAAGTTAGAAAGGGCAAGAAGGTTTAATTTAAAAACATTTAAGTACTCAATTAAAGTATTTAATTTAGAAGAAAGTTTCATTTTTGAACTAGAAAATTTTTGGAATTTTTAAAGTTGCAACTACACGGTTTTTATACCATCAAAAAAATGGGCTGAAAGTGAAACACATTGCGCCCGATACTTTCTTTAAATTTGGTTGTTAACACGAATATTATTGATGTTTTTCCAAAAAGTTTATATGCAACATATATTAAATATAAATATATTATAGTTATGTTAAATTGATTATTTTTCACAATTCCCATAAGAAAATGCGAGGCTGAGAGATTATTCTCTACTCTTGCAAGAGTAATAAATATGCTCAGATAAATAATGCTCCACAGCAGTTTAAGTAAATTTGCAAGATTAAACCAGCACAGAGCATAAACATACTTAAAATAAAAATAAGAAAATGACCATCGAGATATGAATTAACCTAAATTGGTTCACAATATGTGTAAGCTATTTGTAGTTGTCATTAACAGTCATTATTGAGTACTACAAAGATTGATAATTTTACATGATGATCTCAATAAACTAGATAATTGGATAAAATGTTAGTTTTGTACACGAGTCTGGAATTTAAATTAAGAAAAATAAAACAAAACAAACTTGAAAAAGTTCAACAACGAATAAGCGAGGATGATTAGGAAGCTACTTGAGAACTTAAATATTTTATCATTAACTAAGTTACTAATAAAATAAGATTTTAGAAATTTTATTCGGCAAATATTTGTAACATCTATGCTGTTGAAAATTTATATATAAATAAAAAGTTTTCATTACTACAAATAGATTAAAATAGAGTAAAACTGGATCAAACCGCATACTAATCAATAAAAATTAACTTTTTTGTTTTTCAATTTTTTTTTAATTAAATTGTTAATAAAAAGCTATATAAGGTTGTATAAATGCATATTAAAAAAAAAAAATCAAATTATCAAAAATATTAAATTGAGAAACTAAGCAAACAGGTGGTACTGCTATTTTAGTACTTTAGATGCCAATACGACACACATGACTTTGAAAGCGGTGATGCTGTGGTAAAGACACAATTTAATCTTGATTTGTCTTCCATAGCATACTTTACATTTTCTACAACCATTTGATAGAGGTGTCTATTGCCATATCAAACAAGCGTGGAAAGAAATTCAGTTAATGAAAATCGTAAAAAGCAATTCAACTAATGGAAAGCGTGGAAAGCAATTCTTACCAAGTATTACGAAGACTCAAAATGTAAGAATTTGAAAGAAAATTTTTTTCAACCGTTGCTCAAACTACTGTATGAGAGTGGTATATGTTTTACACGCTTGCATGCAATCGCTAGTTTTCAGTACACTGACTTATTTCTACTTAGTTAAAAAAAACAAACATAAGGGATTAGCAATCACACAAACGTTTAATTTACCATCATCATCTTTAGCAGCCATGGCATTTCCTATAACATCTAGCCCAGTCACAGCGTCATCATCTTCAACTGCCGCCGTAGCACCTACTTCAACTGTCAACCGATTACCATCTTTATCAACTACGCCAGCTTCGAATTTTGATAGGTATCAAGCATGTGTTGAGCGTTGCAAAAATAGCATTGAGAATTTTTTCAAGCCAGAAATCAATTACATGTTAAGAAACTGAAGCAGTACAACATGTAATAAATTGCTGGAAAATGTATTACTTAAAAAAAATGTGATTAGGTTCCTCAAACAGAAAGATGAAGAAAAAACTATAAAGGGGGCTGTAAAGGTTGTTGAACTTAACGCAAAGCGTAAGCTCTCTGAAAATATCCATTATCGTTTCAATAATTGTTCACAATATAATTAATTATTTTTTTTGCTGCCAGTGGTTGTTTGACATAATCACCCAAAAAACTTGCATTTTGTATTGCTTGGAAACGCATTCAAAATAACGATCAATTATTTCTGGCGCACACAAAGCAGCTATGTCAGATGCTAAGTTATCTACTGTTTTTGTTGAAACTTTTTCTGACCATCTTGTAATAAAGCCATAAAAAGTCTGCTAGGCTTGCCATTTTTGAATAAGTGCAATTAATTTTTGCGTTTAAGGTAGCCAGTTAAAAATTAGAGGAGTTTAGCTCGGGTTAAATCATAATCCCAGTCACCAAGCGATTGGAACGCATCATTCTTTCTCTTTTGTTTCAGAATACCGTTGTTGTACCTGAGCCATGGAAACCGTCATTGTTGTTATTTTTCCAATTTTTTATTGTTGAGGCTGGAAACCTTTTTTTTGCAAACTTAAATTATCGAGGCTGGAAACATATTTGAATGCAGCTTTTCTCAGTGACGTTTGTTTTCTTCCATATCAGTTTTTGCGGCTAGTATATTTTCTTCCTTGTACGCTTATATTATTAAAGTTGACATTTTGAAGTTAGTGAGTTGAGTAGAGTTAAGTGAGTGATGTTTATATTTTAATTAAACCACAATTAACACTATATTAATTAGATAAAGATAGACGCTTGGTCACTTAGTCAATTAATCGAGTGTGCAGTTTTATCAGGAAAGAGTGTGTGTGTGTTTGTTTTTTTTTAATTTTTTAATTTATACTATCAAAAAAAAAAGATAAAATTATTTTTAAATCAGTTCTAGCGCGAATTTGCTCGCAAACGATAAAAAATAAATAAAAATTTTCAATTCCCCGTAAAAGTTATATAAAAAAATTAAAAATGGAGTTGAACTAGCATACAATTTTATTAATTCGAATAGAGGAGATAACTCTGTATTCAAATCTTTTTTTTTTTAATAGCCATATCGATTCAGTTTTTACTTGATAACTTCAATCAGTGTGCGAAATAATACGGTGTGCGGTTGTTTGTTTTACTCTATGCATTTGAAGATAAAGTGCTAAAGAATTTTATTTAGCTATGGCTGCTGTGATAAGTGTTAATTTGGTTTAATGGGCTCTACACACTATTTTTATCTTGTCTTTACTCCTTACTTATACAAGATTGTTTCATTGAGATCGACATGGTAGTTTTGTATCTAATTAAGTTCAAGAAATTCTCGATTAAGTCTCCAAGTTGAACCTAATATTGATTTAACGTAAAAAATACAGAGACAAAAGGTTTTAGATTTAAGTTTTTTTTAATAAAAAAAGTTTTTACGTTTAACTTAAATTAATTTTATTATATCCTATGTTAAATATTTTTCTAAAATGAAAAATTTTAATTAGAAGTGATAAATAAAAAACACTAAAAATCTTATGCAGTAACTTTCAATAACACTTTTTTCACATTTTGTCACAATAAAAATTAAAAGATTTTAAAGCTTAATAGTTTAACAATTCCTAAGGATTTTTGACGATTTATATAAATTTATATATTCAATATAAGATACTATTCAAGTTCAATACGCTTTAGAAAAATACTTGATTTATCTAATTTTATCTGTTATATAAATTGTTTATAACAATGTATAACAATATATTTACTTTATTGTATATATTGTTTGCGTTCTATATTAACAACAGTTATTTTACAACTTGTTTCAATATTGTGCTATTTATTAAGGTTATTGCATTATTTACTGTAACATATCTTTACTTACTATTTGCCTAATTTTAAAACTATTTACTATTTACTTTTTATTTTTGTGTATTTTTGATTTGAAAAATAAATGCACTAATTACTTAAAAATTAGAGGTTCAGTGATAATTTCTAAGAGGTTGGGAAGTAGAGTTTCAGTAGAAATTCCTTAACTGTCGAAAGAAGTTGACAATAAGAGTGTGTTAATTCCTTTACACTCTAAAGAGGTGGGCAAGTCAAACTTCAGTGCTAATGCCCTAACACTTTAAAGAGGTGTGGAAGTAGAGTTTCAGTACTAATTAAACGCATTTAATAGGGAAAAAGTCATAAGTTCAATGATCATTTTAATTTGGAATAAAATTTATGCAAATTTCTAACATTATTTCTGTACTTTTTATAGTAATATAAATAATAAGTTTGTTCGTCTTCCTATTATATTTCATTTAACTTTTTTAAAAAGTTCGGTGCATAGGAAAATAATAATGTGTAAAGTAGAGTTAAATTATTTATGTGTAGCAATAATTTCAATTTATGCAATATATAGCAATAAAGACATATTAGTTTTGATTTTGTTAACTTAATTTATTAAAAAGATTCTTACCTGCAACAGAACTCACAATGAAGAAACTTATAAAAATTATGAAACTTGAATGCATTATTTATAAATAAATATAAAACATAGAAGAACTGTTAAAATTTTTTTTACAAATTGCTCGACTGCTTTTAAAATTATTAATATGAACGAATATTGTTTCAAACATTTATCAGAACGACAATTCAACTTTGTCAATAATTCATAGTTCGTTTTTTTTAGGCAAAAAAATAACAAAGATTACTAGCAAAGCAAATAAACGCAAATGTTTAAATATTGGCTAGATTTTTTGTTGTGTATGGAAAGGGACGTTTATTTATTTTAAATATTAAATAAATGAAAGCAGACTATTAATAATAAAATTATATATATATATATATATATATATATATATATATATATATATATATATATATATATATATATATATATATATATATATATATATATATATATAAGCTATTGATAGTCAAAGAAAATCAATTTTTTGTACATCTAGCGCTTTTTGAATAATAAAAAATTTAAGTAAATATATTATAAAAATTAAAAAAAAAAATGAATAAACAGCAAAAGGAAATAATATGAAGTAAACATTCTTTGTTAATTTTAGTTAAGTCTAGATGTGTCTTTAAGATGATTAATATTTCATTTGCTGAAAATATCTCTTTACAAACGTAATTATGAACATACTGAGTTCTTAATTTACTAAATAGACTAGTCTCAGTCCCCAAAAAAATAAAATAATAAAAAAAGGTTAAATGACACGACCTGAGTTTTTTAATATTAGGCAAATTTTTAGCGGGGTATATTTTCTCCTAAGTAAACATTTGCCAATTTAGAAAATTACTTTTTTTTTCTTTTAAAAAATAAAAACGCAAGCCCTAAAGAAAAACAAAATTTTAAAAATTTTTAAAAAAGTAAACATAGTAATCAGTGGTCTGAATTTAGAAAAGTTTTTATACGATGAATAAAGTAAAGCGACCAATTTTTTATTAGCGCTAACGTTAACGTTAGCGCTAATAAAAATATTAACAAAATATTAACAAATATATTAATAAAAATATTAACAAAAGTTGAAAACAACGCGTTATTTTCAACTTTTGTTAATATTCGCAACTATGTATATTTAAATAGCTATTTTTCATGAGTAAGTAAAGTTTTTTAGACTCACAATCTTTTTTTTTATTTTATACATGTTTATTTTACAACTACAAAGTATTTACAAGTAAAAAATCACAGATTGACGGTAAAGATATACAAACATAAATATCATAAACACAAAGTTCGAAATATACGAAGTAAACAAAAATATAGTTGCATACAACTCCGAGACACGACTAAAATAATAACCAATTACAACAATGTAGCTACGTGTACGTAAAAATAATCCGATAAATATATCTCTATATTATTCCAGTTAAAATAAAATAATACAATAAATAAAAATAAATTAGCTGATTTTTCGGAGAAGTGTTTAGATGTTTGACTATAAGTTTATTTACCACATTTTAAACTAATGTTTATGTATAAATATAATAAAAATGAAATTTGTGTAAGATTGATAAGGAGAATTACTTGTTAATAGTTATAGGAAGCTCGCAGAAGACTAAAGTTAGTCTCGTCATCAACCTAAAGCAATCGGAGTTGTTGTTTTTATAAACTAAAGCAATGTTGGTTTATATTGCTTTTATATTGCAATATTATTCCAATTGGGTGACCAGAAAATTCTGGCAAATTGCCATAAAAACGACTAAATTTAAAAAAGGTGAATAAGATTAAAAATAAACTTTATTCTAACAAATAACAATCACATAATAAAATTAGATTTCGAAATGACCGCTTTTAGCTTTGATATAGGCCCTAAGTTTCTTAGGGAAAACATTGACTGCGGCGCGCAAGTATTTTGGAGAAAGATTATTCCATTCCTTCTGAAGTGCTCAGCGCAAAAGTCCAAATTCCTATGAGGAATAGAACATACCTTGGTCTTCGAAACTGACCACACGTAATAATCCAACGGGTTGAGAACTGGCAAGTAGGGAGGCCATTATTGGGCACTGATAAAATCTGGAAAATTGTTTTGGCACCACCCTTCAACGGTTTTTACCATGTGGGCAGGAGTTGAATCCTGTTGAAATGTCCAGGGCTTTGTACCAAAGTGTGATTGGAACTATGGAAGTACTTCTTTTATAAGGACATCATTTAAATAATTTTGACTTTTAATTTTAACTCCAGAATCCACAAAAACTAACGGAGTTTTGCCATCAGAAGTTATCCCTCCAAAAACCATAACGGATTGCGGATGTTCTGAACGAGAAGCAATTCTACCCTTTATGTTTGCATCACTGATACTTCTGGACAATATCCGATCATTTTGATGGTTTAAGAAAGCTTCAATATTAAATAAACATTCATCAGTGAAAACAATTTCTGAGTGGCGCGCCAAAGAAAAACGTTTGAGCAAAAGCTTGCATCTTTCCATTCTTACTTTCTTCATACTGTCTGTGAGAAGATGAGCTTTTTGGATCTTGTATGGGATAAGTTTTAGCTTATCCTTGCATATTTTTCCATGGGACCCTGTATATTTTTCCATGGCACCCTGTACAACAAAAATTTGTTGTACAGGGTGCCAGAACTTTCTGGTCACCCTGTACAACAAATGATTTCTGTGTTATTGTAATCAAGTCTGATTTTTTTTTCTTTTTACAATACTTTAAGTTTCAATTATTATGGAATAGGAATTAACAGAATCATTATTTCTTCATGATCTAAACCCAGGGCTGGATTAAGCATTTTTTGGTCTTTGAGATTGCTAACTTCCAGATATAGAGCGAACTCCAAACATTTATATGTTTATACTTATGTCAAATAAGGATGGTTTGCAAAAAATTGCAATGATTGGAGACTGGGAACAAAAAAAGACCAAAATTTGCGCCCCCTGTCCCAAACGAGAGAGCAACAAGTTAATAAAATATTTTTTGTACTAATTTTAACTAGACTTATATTCATCGATAAATTTTAAATTTCATAGTAAAATATTTTAACGTTCAAATGTTATGACTATATAAAGTTTGCGACCCCCTCAAATTGAGGGGGGTTTAAACTTTATATGGTCATAACTTTTGAACGCTTAAATATTTTACTATTATCGTATTGGACGACAAAGACGATGTATTATCGTATTGGACGACAAAGAAAGTCGAGGAAGAGTTCATGAAATGTGAACTCTAATCACAAATTTGTCGGCGTACTCTACTTAGGTTAACCTAACTAACAGTGCGTTTTGCATTTATGCGCGCTTTCTCTATGCTATATTTCTAACACGACTACTTCAATCTTTTACTCTAACATATTTTCGTTCTTCCCAAACTCACTTTACTCTCGGTCTGTAGAGCGGGTTATGACATTCCTTTAGGAGCCGAAACAAGTCTCTGAGGACCTAAGCAATGTGGCCTTCACAAGACATTTATCTAGCGAATGATTAACCACAAAACCTATTATCGTATTGTCGTAATGTATTATGTATTAACGTATTGTCGAGGGGTATCTATATCTTTGTATTAAATGTAGTATCGTATGGAGTACTATATCTATGTATTAAATGTAGTATCGTATTGTCGAGGAGTGACAAATTAAGTTGAGAAAAAAGTCATATCAAGTAACCTATTCAAGTCTTTCTCGCCGTGCATTAATTAGGTGACCTAATTAACAGTACGTTTTGCACCTTCTAACATCGTGTGCAATCCTCTCCGCTTTCTCTATTCTATCTTTATAACACAACTACTTCTATCTTTCACTCTAATACAACTTCGTTCTTTAATATAACTTCGTTCTTTTCACCTTACTCTCGGTAAGTAGAGCGTGTTATGCGGATAAACCACTATACCAATGTATTATATACATTGGTATATTTAATGTATAATAATAAGTATAAACAAACGTCATCAGAGACTATTAAAATATATATAAATATACATTTTTATAATGAAAAAAAAACTCTGTAAATGTATATACGGAAAAAAATGTATACACTGAAAAAAAACTTTCAGTTCTATTTGTGCTTTGCTCAGTCTCTAATTGGCAAATTAGATTTTATAATCATGTCTTATTTAAGTATTACAAATAAAGAGTTACGAGAGCGTGTATACACGCTCAGCTATAGTTGAATTCCGAATTCATTTAGATTATTCTATAGTCAGCAAATCTAAGTATATATTGGAGAAGGCAAAAGAACTCAGCGAGAAAATAGCATCAAAAATTGTAAGAAGCAAAATTGAAAATATTACTTACCGCAGAGATGGCAGGTAAAGCAGGTTGAAATCAAAGAATGCGATAAACCGGTTGTTTTTAAGCAAAGAGAATCAAAAGGTTTCTTAATAAAAATGAAATGAAAAATCCAACACTCACTATTTCTATTGTAATCAATATATATATATATATATATATATATATATATATATATATATATATATATATATATATATATATATATATATATATATATATATATATATTTATAAAGAGAGAGAGAGAGTTAATAAAAAAGTTAAAAAACTATTAGTGGCAATTTTTCTGAGCAGAGTATGTTATTGGCAATCGACTCCGTAAAATTAAAAGAAATGTTATTGAGAAAAGTAGCTTTGACATATAAAGTAAATAAAAATTTATACAGAAAGGTTCAAAGAAAATTAAAGAATTTAGACTCAATATTAATAAATATATCACTTGGTTCATTTAAAAAAGTATTTCCGGATGATAATGAAAATCAATTAGTTAACTACATAAAAGAATTGGATTCAGTTTGTTATGGATTTTCCATAAGTGACAATCAACAAATTTTCTTCCAGTGTGTCGAAAAGTATTTATTTCAATGATATAGAAATTGTTATGAAAAAGTACAAGTTTGAACCTCATAAAATTTCTCACTGTGATGAATTAGGAATTACGACTGTAAATAAACCTGTTAAAGCTATAACAGAAGAAACATTATATTTTCTCTGTAACTAGTGGTGAACCACTACTGTTGTTTGTGCTAGACAATTTTTTTTCATTAAATGGTGAATATTATGAGAAAGCAAATGAAATTAGAGCTCATAGATCATGCAACAACTGGATGATTTGGAGGATAATCTAAAAATGGCTGGATTGCAACTGATCTGTTCATAAAGTGTATTAAACATTTTACTAAGTACCCTAAAGCTTCTACTGAAAT